CCCCCCCCCCCCCGGCCTCCCCCCCCTCCCCAGCCGTCTCCTTATCGAACCAGTGTAATTCAATTAAGAGCTTTAAATAATGCCACAATTTTACCTCGACAAATTTTGCAATCGGAAATATTGTAACTTAAAGCTCGAAATCCATCGTGAACTGCTGAAGGCAACCAATTGAGCAGAGCTCGCTTCGAGCAACACTGAATTCCATATGGCTGCGGTCATATTTATCTTACGTTTCATTCTGGAAGGCCCATTTACAAGTCACACCTTGTAGGCCTTGTTATTGTCATGTTTGTATCCCTATTTATTCTCACGTTTACCCTCACACGAGAGAGGAAGCGAGAGTCTAATGCATTCGGCCTTTGATATCTGGGCCATTGGTTTATTTACTTACCATTGGGCTTCCTAGATTTCGCAATGTTGACAAAGGATAACATCACGTCCATGATAGGATATTGGTCTAATATGAACGACTTTCAATGTGAAGCATAGCGAATAAGCCAGCCTAGATGGCCTAAGTTTAACAAGGGCATGTTGGAAAGGGATACATGGCAATGGCAGGGCGGAATATAGCAGTGCATCCAAGTGTAACGCAGTGTAAGCCAGTATTAGTACAATGAATGACAGGTCTGGTACATCCTATAGTACGTAAGGTATCATATGTGAAGAAAGCAGCCCTCTTGTAGGTAGGAGGTGTTGAGTTTGGACTATGTAAGTCTTGTGCATACCAGTCTCAAATTCTCACTCCTGCATTATTTCCCTCTGGAACTGCACATTCCCCCTGTAAGACATTTGGTGTTCTGTTTCCCCACATTCAGGAGGGAAAATAATATATTTAAAAATTTTCATTTGTAGGCCATAAGCTTGCATGAATAATCCTAAAGATGCTCTCTAACTTAGCTATATTGCCATATAGTGAGGTGTCTGTAACAGTGCCCTATGGGAAGAGAGGGAAATTGAGAAATTCTGATTCCTGTTCTTGCTATTCTGGAATGCTTTTACTTCCTCTCCCAAATGTGTAGGTGTTTTTGTGCTCCCAATGTATACAATTGTGGAAGCCTGATCCTATTGATCACACCCAAGGAGTTCCACTTTCAATTTTATAAAGGAAATAGGATTCTATATGAAGTTGCTCAGCAAGAAGAAATGTTGCTGGACAACATTTCCTCTTGCTGAGCAATGTTGCTGGGCAACATTTCTTCTTGAGTAAATTCTGTTTATTCAAGACACTTATGGTAATGGCTTAGTACATGGGATTGTATCTATAGCCATGGGGTTATTAATTTTGCATTGTCAATCTGTGCTGCATTTGCATTTATTGGTAAATGGGAAGTATCTTTTATCAATATTAAGTTCATGATCATTGTGGGAGCTGATGGCTCAGTAATTCCTGATAGCTAAATGTCATGGGCTCAGTCACTGCCCTCTGTAACCTTTTCTACTGATAGAGAATGACTGGGCTTCATCGGTCTGGTGGACACCTGCCTGTACAGATGGACACTATGTAAGGTACCTTGACCTGGCAGGTGGACACTAGCTATCATTGTGGGTGGCCATGAATTTATTTTTCCACTTTTATTCTGCTTGCTTCTTATTCTTATTCTTTATGTGTGTGAGCTGTGCATATCAAGCCTCTTCTATGTAAACATGTTCCTGTGGGCCCTAAATCAATAAAGAGATCATTCATTTGCATCCAAATAATTTTAATAATTACTGGTATTCCCAGTTTGCAGTTTGGCCACATTGCACTGTCTTGCCTTGTGAAGAATGTCACCCAATCTTGCTCTCTTATGATTCACACTCCTCCACAGGCATTTCTTTTTTACATGTACTGTACCTCAGGATCAAATAAGCTGCTCCTAAATACACTGAGCAGAATCTCAAAGAATGCCCAAAAGATGTTTGCCAAAAGTAGTAACTGCAACTCTCCTACTCTCATGCTATTGCCATTCCATGCTGCATTTCACTTCATTTCTCTTCTGGGAAGTAAAGTAAGCAAAAATTCAGTAGTGTCCGTGTTTGTAAATGCTACTAGTCCATGAGTCAGCTCAGTGCCCACATGACTGATTTGGTGCAAATCAGGTGTCCACCAGACTGATGAAACCTGAGTGGGTAATCACTTCACTTGAAATTAATGGAATGGATAGGTCCACTGTTTTTGTTCAATATATATATTTAGTGGGACTTCTAAGCTGATGAAAATGGAGGTGATTGTTATAAATATAGTCTTACAAAATGTGTTAGGGCAATATTAATAGCACGACTGGAAAGAATCATGATCCCATGCAAATATCTTCTGCCAACTTTTGTGGACCAGGCATGTGTTCCAAGGTATATAGGTTGGCCTAGTGTTGGCTTTTAGTTACTCTGTTGTCATAGTGCATTTCATAGTGGGCCTTATCCCCCTGAAAGTTGCATTACAATCTCCAAATTTTCTCCCATGTGATCCATAGGGGTGCACAAATTAATCAGAACTGTATGCCTAATTGATGCTTGCAATGATGGTTCATGATGTTCTGATTCTTTTAGGTATAAACTTCTAACTGGATAGTTCCTAGTCTAAACTTTGTAGTCGCAATGACTCATTCATCAGATGATGAGCTTGGCTCAGAATCAAGTGAAGAGCCATATATGGAGAGGGAAAATCTCACAGTTCAACAGACAGATCAACTCATTCAGTTCCAGGTAAGAGCATTTCTTATGTTTGAATTTATGAATTTGAGCTTTTCTAAATCAATAGGGTATGAAAGGGGTGCATTGCTTAATTTATAATGCTCAAGTGAAGACAAACTACATTGTCACCTTGCATGCTTTCTTGACCCTTAGCATTGTGCAAAAAGATATTTGCTTTTGGGACATTTTAATTTTCTTTCCATTCTGATAGCTGGTGTTCCAGGTTTGGAGCCAGATGTTATATATTTGTGGCGAGTTTATATGGCAGTTTTAAAGAAGCTAGATGCTGAAATTGTGATTGGATGACATTCTTAGGCCTTGGTTACATTGAATATCACTCTGTCCAGTTATATCTTGTATGAACCATTTGCTGACATCAAGGCAGCAGCACTGAGGGATATGCCTGAACTGCTTGGTGTGCCAATCTTGGAATCATGTTGAATGCACACATTTACAATTTGTACATTGAAACGTGAATGTTTTCTAATGGAATGCTCATAATGAAGGTAATCATGAGAGATAGGGTCCAATGATGTCAAACTCATAGATAAATGGTCAATAGTAGACAAAGGAGGAGTTCTTGGAAGCTGTCAAGATGTCTTCATGTTTGAAATATGATACATCACCTATGCCCAGGCCTATTGCATTATGGCAGCCAACTTTTTAGGCTTAAATTTCCCATAGTCACTATGCTCAATACTCTTCTATCATGATAGACAGACAATCATGGAGGTCACAAATTTATGACACCTAATCCTTTATTCTCAGGAAATCTCAGGTGTGCAAGATTTGGAGCACTGCAGAGCCATTCTTGAACGCCATGGCTGGAATATTGAGAGTGCTGTCCAAGACCATTTGAGTTCCAGTGATAGTCCAGTCTCAAGCAGGTCTCCAGTGGTGATTCCAGATGGATTACCAACTCCATCATTATCCATGACTCTAGCCCCTCCACGAGGGGCTGGATTCTTGGGCTGGACATACTATGTGATCATGCTTCCTTTTCGTCTATGCACATGGACACTGCAGCTGATGATTCATTACCTCTTCTTCAATTTCACTCGGACAAATAGAAGAAGTGAGTTCCATCTCTCATGTCTGTTAATTTCACAAGGAAGATTTTCATTCCTTAAATACTTCCTTTAGTTGACATAATATGAGATATCTGTAAATCTGGTGTTGCCAGAGATCCAATAGGTTCCTACTTTCCAAAGGCCTTCTTAGAATTTGAGTGGCCAGGGTGGAAGAACTCAAGCTTCACATGATCTTCAGCCCACTCAAATTTTAGGGTTTGCACGCCACTGCTGGCAAGCCCAAGGTCCAACTAGGAAAGTCTTGGGTAGGCCCAATAGGATGGAGATAAGAACACAAGAATGACCACGATGATGAGCTAGGGCTGAGTTGGGAGTTAGTCACCTCAGTCTGAAGCAACATTGGTGTTTTCATCCTCAACCTTTCCTATTTGGTGCATTGGATATTTCTGCCTTTACCTGACCAATTAAACCAAAAATTGCTCATTGAGTGAGTGATTTCCAAGGATTGGCCTTGAGGCAAGCGGAAGAAACTAAAAAAGAAATTTTCATCTGCAGTTCTAGGTGGATGGTACGCCTAGGAGCGAAGGATGGTTCGTGTAGGAAGGAGGACTGCTTCAGAAGGAGGAAGCTGTATAATTGTCCAGGGTTGCTAGCCTATGAGGTAGGGGGATCAGGAACACAAAAAAAAATCTCGCAGTTCAACGCAAGAGGGCCAAGGCCCATATCTTGTCCCACGGCAGCGGCGTAGCTACCACAGCTAGCGTAGCTGTGCAGGCGGTGCGACTGCACCGGGACCCACGGGCCAGAGGGGCCCAGACGCCGAGCTACGAAGAGGGGAGAAGCGTTAGCTGGGAGCCCCTTGGCATCGGGACGAGATGAAAGCCACGAGGTCAAAAGGAAGCAAAGGAATTCAACGCGACACTGCTACACAGAGACATCTCGCAACTGGGACGCCGCTTCGTGTGGTTAAATGAAGTGGTGGCCACTTCCGATACCATTCACTCAGGGCCGAATTAAGGGGGTTGGGTTAAAGGGGCTGTTGCCCCGTGGCTCACTTTTCCAGGGGGCCCTCGAAGGAAATTGAACTCCTTAAGTATTTGCGTAAAGTAGCAGGGAGAGGGGCGACTGCCCCTCTCCCTGAGTGGGCTGGGCTGGGAACAAGGAAACAGCCCCCCCCCCCCTATGAAAATATCTGTGTCCGCCACTGCCTTCCACGACTTCAGCTACCGACGACGATTTATATGCTGCCGGAGAAAATCTATTTTTTTTTTAAATATGGCTCCCACATAATTCAATAGTAAGAAATTGGACAGCGGGCCCCGTTTCATTCCTTGCACCAGGGTCCATGTCAACCACGCTACACCACTGTCCCACGGGCAGTTCGTTATTTATGCACGGAAGCGTTTCATGAGAGCATGAAGAGGAGAAGTGACCCTTGGCATTTCCCTTTCATCTTTTATTTATTTTGGCCGTTTTAGAACTTGAAGAAACCAAATGGCACCTTAGGAAAGTCTCACCACGATCTTACATTGCCAAGGGGATCTCTTGGTTCCATACAAGATGCTATTGTTATGAAGGCTTTGAATCTTCACTTTTTAAATTAGGAGCAAAAAATTCATGAAATATCGACGAATGTGAAATTTAGTCCGACTGAAACAGATTCACATAGCACTCAAATCCCAATTATTGCATGCACTGGGTTGCAACTAGACATAATACTGGGTTTGGTTGGAAATAGTTATAATGGAAAATTCATCGTAATCACCATAGTTGTGATTGGTGAATTCTTTAACAATTGCCAGGAATTGTGTTCCTATTCCTCGCTCCCCAGACAAGACAAAACGTAACGATTGCGGTGCCCTGTTGCTTCATTCTTGGGTGTGGTTCGTATGCTATTACCACTACCTCTAAAGCACTAACGCGGGACCCACCCAGACCCCAAGCACCGTAACATGTGGAATTCGAAAATAATTTCTAAAATGAAATAGCTGAGAGATTTTGCTGTGTTTTGTTTTTCAAGTGTAATTAAATTTAAATGCAGCAATTGTGAAACTTTCGCATGTCTTAAGTTATGCTCCCCAATTCCAATAAAATCGCCATCGATGCCATAAATCTCCATTAAGAATACGGTTCTATCCTTGCTTGATATGCGCTGAGGAAGATTCGCCGGCACAATCGTGAAATTTTGCACTACTGTACTTGTTCTGTCCTAAAATTTGTGAGGGGCGGAGGTCATGTCCCGACTTATGTTGGCTTGAGCGGCATCTGCAGCATCCTTTAGACGGTGGATGTGTAGAGACTACAATGAGGGCCATAGAGAACATGGTTTTGCTTTAGGAAGATGCGCGAACTCGTGGCTGAATCGCTCTCTGTGCAGGTCAACAGCTGGTAGACCCCTACCGATTGACCGGTCGTGCCGTATTTCAGAGCTCTCCTGTACTGCGTCTCTCCGAGTCGCGATCCCCTCACCTCCACTTCCCACGATTGGAATCAGCGCCGGGATTTATGCCGCAGACTTCCAACCTATGCATGTTATCAGGGATTCCACTCGTTCGAATAGGGTTTCGTCATCGTCGAACACAAGGCTCCCAAAATGGAGGGAGCACACTGCCTTCCTGGTTACATTACAAAGAGCATAGTGGCTCTAAAAATATTGCGAAATTCCAGGATGTCACGATGGGAGGGGGACCCAAAGAAAGGCAAGGGCGAACGTCGGTGGATTCCGTGGTTTTTAAAGCATTTAGTACGAGTTCGTTAGGTGAAGCTCAACAGCGAGAAAGGAAAATCGATTACTGTGAACTTTTAGAGCGGGGTTCCCAAACTTTTTGGCCATTGGGGCTGCGAAATAGAGCACTTGTGCTGTATAATAGGCGAGGGGAGGTGGGTGCTGAACGGAAACCTTATGTAACTGTCTGGTACGGCGAGCACTCATTAACATCCCCGTTTTCGTTTGTGTTTTTTTTTTATTTCATCCACGATGTTTCTTGACCCTTCCCCCCTCCCCCAATTACTTTGCGGACCGTACGGAAGCTCTTATGGAAATATCATGTGTGATTTTAAAAAATCACATGGTTGCTCACACCCGATCACATACTGGGTTGACCAGAGATTCATGTGATCACGAGAGTCACATCCCTACCCACTCCCAATCCCATGACATGGGGTGTGACAGTGCGAGATGAACAATCACATGTCAGATCACTTATGGTACAGCATGTGATCAGGGGTGAATTTTCCATAAGGGGCAGCGCTTGGGACACCTGTTTTAGAAAACAGTATTAATTTCTGTCACTGAATCCATTGTCTTACGCTAAACCCATAGCCCGTCTGTGATGATGGAGTGGCTATGGGTAAGTCGCTGAGAAATGCATGTGATGGACAGTTGCGATGCGGAATGAACGTCCACTATAAATGACCATAACCCGAGCCGAACTAACGCAGCTTTACAGTGGGATGATATTCATTGCAATACTGTAGTGAGTGACGGGTTTTCTTAATGCGGAATTGACCAAGACAGAATCGAGAAATATAATCGTGTTTCGCACAAGTCTCCCCCTCCTGCCTCGTATCCCGCAAAAAGAAAGTAGGATTGCTCTTATTAATTTCTCATCTGGGTATAAGATTTGGGTATTTAAGCCAGCTGAATACCGTAAATTGAGGGACACGTTGACGGAGTCGGAATATTCCGTCTGATAATGTCACGTCACCTAGCGCAGACTTAAATCGGGGGATTGTCGTGGAGTTCGAGATTAGTGTACATTTAGATAGTAGATTAGAGAACCACGATTTCGACCCCTGCTTTTACTCTTCGATGACGTCATCTATTGTGCGACGTCAATTTTATGCAATCCATCCAGTGGCATTACTTTAAGAGGGGTGTTCGAGCCCCCCGCCCTGTGTATGCCACTATAGCAGTGGTTCTCAACCTTCCTTTTACTCCCATTGAACCTTCATGCATTCGGGGGGGTGACACCTCCCAGGTTGAGAACCACTGCACTATAGGGAGACTATAAACGTGCATATATAGCTATATAACCTTGTGCGCCACATTACCCACACCTTTGATGCCCTGAGCTTATCGAAGTGAGTAGCGGCTGGCGGTGGGAAAGAAACTATTCTGCCGTTCTTTTTCTCATTCAATTCTGAATTTCCAAACTAGCGAAATCCACTGCCCTTCTTGCGATAAAATTATGTGTTCAGAACTATGCACGTAAAGGTAGTGTATAATACCTCATAGACAGTACTAGGGAACCGTAGCAAACGTGCGGTCCGTTATCGCTGTCCTTTATCCCTTATCGTTGTCCCTTCTCCCTTATCGTTTCCGTCGAGGACGAGAGAGACGTAGTTGATTAGAGAGGTAAGTTATGGAGTTGCCAGTTGCTTTGAACCGTCCGCTTCTGAGGCATGCGTATGACGCGTGCACTTGGGGGACTCAACTACATCGACACCAGGCACTTACCTCAAGAGCGGCTGGAGCCCACTCGTGTCAGTGCTTCTGCGTCGCCGATGAATATTCCCCATCCACTCGCACACCATCTAATTAGGTTTCACACGCAGTAGCTTCTTGTGAACCGAATTCTTAAACTGTACGTGGTTCGTGGTTCACCTTGAGCACAGAGACAAGAGTATTCAGGTGAACCCCAGATCCTTAATGAACGAAATTTTATTTCATGATATCCGTGCAGCTCAGGGTAAATTGACTGCATCGTTAGGAAGGATTCCATATGCGTCAGCCTGGTACATTTCTTTGATAACCCATGGCATGGCAATAGGCACATTCAAGTATGAATTGCCAAAATATTCTTCTGGAGATTTACCATACGTGAAGTCCAAACAATGAGCGACACCTAAAAATTAGGTGTCGACTCGTATTTGGAATTTCTGTCTCTTTTCTTTGTTTCTTCCGCTGTTTCTGTCTTTCTTTCTTTGTATCATTCATATTCTGCACATCAGGAACTCTTCATCTGTCTGCTGCTTGCATGAAGCCTGAGTGATAAGAGTAAGAGAAAAAAGGAGTTTTGGTGTAATTGTGAGGCAACATGTTTAGTAGTTCTGGAATCCATCCAGCTCTTCATGTCAAGACCACCTCAGAAACAGAGGGCCAGCCCTGATCAGGATTTCCTTGTTGCAACTGCTGAGCTTCAATGTGCAGTTGGAGGTATTGCAGACTGCAGACCCCCAAGGCCATCTGGTATGGGGAAGGATGAGGAAGAAAATGCAAACTCATCAAAAAGCATGGAATCTACTCAGCCTATTCAGGAACCAGCCTTAGAAGATACTTGGCAGAGGGAAGTTGAAATTGATGCATGCTTTTTGAATGAGAATGCAAGTCCTATTGCTCTGCCACACTTCCCACTGAGAATTGGAGGTATTAGTTGTTTTCCATGCCTGCTGAGAAAGTCTTATATTTGAAGATTAGATAAACTGACGCTCACTCTATCTTGTCTGGTGGATGCTTTTCTGAGGTCATATGTGATGGATGAAATAGATGCACTCGTAGAATGATATATATTGCAAACATTTGTGTTACATGTGCAGTTGAAGATGGAACATTGGATATTTTTATCTTTCCTCTTGAGATGTGGACAGAGTATGTGACATTGAGCCATGACTGGTGGGGTGAAATGGGTTGATTTTAACTACTAAAAATGATTGAAATGTTTGTTTGCTTCTTCCTGCATTTTGCTTGTGGCAATGGGACAACTTATTTTTTTTTTATATTCTGCAGGAGTGACAGATCCAGTGGGAGATGTGAACAGCTGGATCCAGGCATTTGAATCCCAATATGGGATGAGGCACCCACGCTTCTTCCGAGGGAGCTACAGACAGGCACTTGATGAAGCAAAACGTGATCTCAAATTCCTTCTTGTTTATCTCCACTCAGAGGACCACCAACATACACGCAAGTTTGTTGTGTGAGTCTCCATTCTTTTAAATAACAAAAATTGGGTATATTGATTTCTTCAGCAATCAGTAGTGATTCTAGTGAGTGTGAAATATTTTTTGCTGTCCTTGAAAATGAAAAATGACTAACAGCCTGCTTTCTTGTGATAGGTGCAGGTTTAGATGTGTGGCCATTTAAAAAGCAGTGTAGGAATAAAGAGTAAATAAATCATAGGGGAGGAGACAGGTGGAGCAGAGCTGGCAGATCTTGATCAGCTATGTTTAAAAATCATTTTCCTTTTCTAGGCTTTCATGCAGGAATACAGCTGGCCAGAATAATGTATGAAACTGATTAACTGTTGCATGGTCTGTACAACCACAGAAAAAGCTACAAAAAGAAAATAGTTTTGTAAAGGGAGGTCTGTTATTGCCAGAAGGAGATCCATGTTATTTTCCAACACCCTTCCAACCTAGCAGTGCTACCACTTGATTCAAGTCCAAATAATGTCTTTTGTATCCTGCTACCTGTCTAATGGTGTGGTTCAACTTGGCTTTTCCTCTTTGCATTTTGGGCCTTGCTCAACTTTTCCCTTTTTATCAATTGGATTGAGAGTTTTCATGACTGCTGCTTACTCATGTGGGATCATCAGTGCACATTGGTTTTTTTTTACTCGTTTGATTTGTTGTTTCCTGTGTAATTTTCATGGAATGCTCATTACAGAAGCTATGTAGATTCTGTTATACAATAAATGTGTGAATTGTGTAAGGACAGGGTGGAGAAGAGGTTTACTAGGTGTAAAATGCCACTAGATCATGACCTATCACAGGAATTGATTGAGGTTTTTAATTTTCAAGTACAGCATTAATTTTTATCTATTTAAAAACTTTTATGTTGCATAGTTCAGGTCTCTTTGATGTTCTGAAATTGTCACCTTTTTCAGTGAAACACTCTGCAATGAGAATGTGATAGAATTCCTGGACAACAATGTCCTCCTCTGGGGTTGTTCAGTAAAGCTTGGAGAAGGATACAATGTGAGTCAGATTATGAGGGAAAGCACTTACCCATTCCTGGCTCTTGTGTGCCTCAAAGATGGTCAGATGACCATTGTTGAAAGGTAACAAGTGTTTATGTTCATATCAAATGTTGTTCATTGTCAGGTTCCAAGGAATTCATAATATTTGTGGTTTCGTCATCTCTAGGTTGCAGGGGCCGAATGGACCAGAAGAATTACTCACACATCTTGCTGCAGCAATGGCTAGAAATGAAAGCCTTCTGGCCACTGCCCGGGCTCATCGAGAGGAACTCAATGCAAATAGAGCACTTAGAGCTGCTCAAGATGCTGCCTACATGGAATCCCTCGCTCGTGACATGGAGAGGCAGCGTGAAAGGCAGGAACAACAGGAGAAGCTAGAGCGTGAAGAACAAGAGAAGAGGGAAAAAATCCAAGCTGAACAGCGGAAGAAGGAGGTGAGTGGAAAACAAACGCAGAAGCCAGTTTCTTTCACAATAGGTCCTCCTCCCCTTTTTAAAAGTGCATTTTTCTTTGCACTGAGACATAAAGGAAGCTCAAAATGCCAACTCTGCATCCAACTAAGCTGGCTCATACTGTTAACATGTCATGATGTCAGGAATAATCTGTTTAGCTTCTTGAAAGTAAGTTGTTACTCTTTTCCATTTTATTGTCATGAAGCTAGATGCCTCCAGGGGGGCAGTGATTTTCTGCTCAGATACCCTGTCTCATTGTTCCTTTGCAAATTCACAAGTCCTTTCATTCCTCTATTCTAGATATCTTAGAATTTTCCTTTCATTGTGCCAGTTTTGATCATGTCAAAACTCATACCAGCTCCTTCTTTTTCTGACTTGGATCTTCTCCTAACCTTCCTTTATCCAATTAAGGAAAAAGCATAAAAGCTGCCAGCATAGGCCCAGAAAGAGAAACTCAAAAGCTGAAGAGCATGAAAAGATGGAAATAGAGACTTGGGCCATCACATTTATGCTCTCATCATTTTTCTGAAAATATGGTGATCACATGTATAAAGCAGCCTAAGATTTTATGTCGAACTGTTGCTATATATTGATGTCACCATTGATGATCTGTAGTTTAGATATTTTTTTATGTCTTCATGGTCTGTCCCAGCTCTCCTTGAACCACCCCTTCCCATGCCCTACACCACAATTGCAATGAGAAGTCATGAAAGGTAAACCTCCCCAATCATGAAAGGTGACAGAAGCAGTAGGTAACCTTGTCTTCCACTGCTTAAGGGGGGAGGCAGTATTCCCCCTATCCATTGGTGCTCCATCAATAGTCCTATCCAATGCATTATTTTTTTTTAAGAAGCCATTTTGACAGTCAAAGTTAAATGCAGCATTCATTATGAGTGATGCTTCTAAAAATCTCACTGGAGTGTCAGAAAAAGTGAAAGTAAAAGTAATTCAGTTGGGAAAATATAGATTGAGATATTCTGTAGCAAAAAGAGGTAAAATACAGAAGTAGAAAAAGGGAACTAAGCTGTCCAAAAGTGGCAACTCTAAGATTTATAAATTATATATTTTTATAAGGCAAGGAGCTCAGCTATATATGTCTTGTTTTAATACAAATGGAGTATCTCCAGGATGCAACATAGACTTTGTACATCTAAAATCTGTTGAAAACCATGTGACAAACACTTTGTTTAGGCTCTATGCACTGGATGCTCACATTTTGTCTGTTAGAGAAAATGAATGAATCAGTACAATACATGGCCAATTCTGGGGAAAATTGCCAACTTCAAGATCATACTTTTCCTGAAGTGAATAATTATTCTCTGTTCAGATGATCCAGCAGCAGAAAGTGGACTTGGCAGACCAGGTTCCAGCAGAGCCAAGTGAAGATGCACCAGACTCAGTGACACTTAATATCCTCCTTCCCTGTGGAAGACGGCTCAAGAGACGTTTTTCAGTCCATGATTCCCTTGCTGTCAGTTATTTTCTTAGTTAAGCTTTAAATAGTGCTGTGTTGACACATGAAGAAATCTTTTGGCAAAACTGATTCAAGTGACTTGGAAACCCCATGGGCTAGGAGATTGCAATTCATGCAAAAGGGAGCACAGAGATACTGCCATTAGGGTTAATAAGTCTTGGCTTTTTTTCCTTGTTTGGTGGATATCCAAGGGAAATTGTGTTTTCTTCTTCACGATGATTTCAGATATTGCTGTTATTGGTCTAAATTGATTAATTGCCATTTAAATCATAATTTGATATATTTATCATGCTGCATAAGACAAGAACATAAATGTTAGAGACTTGAGGACTGTTTTGAACCATGAAACTGTCATAACATTTTGAGTAATGAAGTTGAGGGCAACAAAAGCCTTAACCCTTTCGACGTCATCCTGAGTACTTACTCGTCATGCGCCTGCATGCTTGCCTGCGGGATAATGATTCAGGTGGACGCCAAAAGGGTTAAGGTCTGAATGGGTGACCACAACGGAAGTTGATCCCTAGGCTTGCTCTGTTGCTCCCCAGCTCTGTCTTCCTAGTTCCAAGTCAATCTGTTGCCACAGTCTCACAGAAAAATTCTGTAACAGTCTTTTTCCCTGGCAATATGCATGTGCTACTGCCCCCTAGATCTCCCACACAACAAAGTGATCCTTGCACAAGTTCTTGCTATGGTCCTGCAACATTATTGGATGCAAGAATGTTGTTCTGTGAAACCAGAGCTTTTTAGGAGTCACTTGGAGAAAATATCCCTTGGATTTTCCTCTTGTGTCCAAATGCAGCTTCAGATAAATGTATTTTTTGGAATCCAATGTTAATGGTGTGTTTGTTTTGCCAATTCCTCCAGGGTTTGTACTATTTCATCTTCTGCCACCCGGACAGTCCAGAAGAGTTTGAAGTGGCCACCAGTTACCCAAAGCGAATCATCCCCTGTGCACCAGTTGAAGTCCATACTTTTGAAGATGTTGGACTCACGGCTAGCCAGGCCCTTCGTGTTACTGACCTGAACGCATGAGGCACTGTCCGAGTTTACTCGTAGAAGTGAAAGCAGTGAAAATAGCTGCAGAAGAAGCCTCTACTACACCAGATATAAGTATGAGCCTGGATTGAAGAAATAGAAGATCCAGCCTGTGTCTGATGTCCTCCTTTCTGTTCTTTCCTTCCCCCCCTTGATCTGCCAGTCTCCTCAAGTGAATATATATTGGTTTGAAATCTAATACAGTGAAAGAGGACATAATCTGGTGTTGCTTGATTGCTTGTTTTTCCTCGTAAGAGGCACGTATCTTTGGGGACTAAATTTTTGGTTCTGTCACAAATGCCAATGCATGTATCATGTATCATGGCTGTCAGGTAGCTTGATATCTACTATGGAGTTTGGAAATGTTAGTAGTTAGTAAAGGTTTTTATGTTGTCTACTGCTCGCATGTTGTTACAGGCATAATCGATGGGGAATGATAATGACCTGGTTGCATCTCCATGAGTCTGCAATTAAAGCCTGACTGGATGTGCTGGATCATATGATGAAATCTGCCAGCTTGCCTTCCTTTTTATCCTGTATGTGGCAATTGTGATAATTTTCCATTGAGCATCTTGTTGTGCTATCAAGGGAAGCCCAAAAGCACTGTGGTGAGGATTCTAGGATAAGATTATACTCTTTTCTGCACATATTTTTACCAAATGCAACTTCCTTTGCATTCTGTAAAAGCAACTTGAGCTCACCTGTGATTTGGCAATATTATTACCGGTGTGTTCCTATCAGGGCTGACCTTAGCTATTTTAGCACCCTATGCAAAGAGACTCCCAACGCGGCCCCCCCCCCTCCCCCCAGAAGAGAGAGGGTCGATCTCTAGCGTCCAAAAAGATGCCGAAACGGAAGGTATTTTCACTTTCTGAAGTAAAACTGAGTTGGCATCTATTATTGCTTTCAGCATTCTGGCACGGTTTGAAGTCCCTTGTGAATTTGCGCCTTGTGCAGGGCAAATGTGGCACATGCCTAAGGCCGGCCCTGATTCCTATATGGGAAATAGAGTTTCATTCTCCTGTGGGTAAGTCATAAGGGTTTGAAATAATGTGACCGAAAATTGCAGAAATGTGTAAATATTATTCTATAAATCACTTCACTCGATTGACATGTTGTAAATGGGCAATTGAGTACTGAGCCCTATCGAGGAGATGGGTACACTCAGGAGAAAGAAGGGTGTTGAGTTCGAGTCGAATGCATGCGAACAGATCTCTCTTAGAGTAAAAAAACACGTAGGGGTAGCTTGGAATCTTGAAACGTTGAGAACGCATGGCATGGAATTATGTAACGTTGAATCGCGTATCGTAGAACACACGAGACCCTAGTTTTGTATGACTCCTGGCGAGAGATTGCTGGTGTGGCAACCGTGGTCTCGTCCCTCCATCGTTGGTGCAACTTGAACAAAGTCTTTGAAACAGTGCATGCAATCATCGTCTAATTAGTCCTCAGTATTCCACCCACATCTTAACTTTTCTTTATTCAAGTTAAAGATGCATAATTTGTTTGCGATAAAGATTTCAAGCGCAGTGAGAGGGCCCCACTTGACGCGGGGGCTTCCTCTCCTGTGGCGCGTGGGTCTCAGGCAGCTTACTGTCGGGGACTAACTAGTTCTCAATGTTTCATGGGGGGGGGGGGGGGGGGGGGGGGCGCNGGGGGGGGGGGGCGGGGGGGGGGGGGGGGGGGGGGGGGGGGGGGGTGGGCAGCTGCACTTTAAAGCGCTCAAAAATATAATTTAAAAATTAGTTTTTGAAAAATAGTACGAGATACATGAGAGACATGTGCTTTAATGCACACGGAATCTGAGGAAGCGAAAAATGAGATAGGATTTTCGTATTTTGGGGGAGATTTAAACCATTCGTTGAGAGCTTTAAAAATGATATTCTCCTCAGAAAAAAACACGTGCCTTTCTAACATATCCCTTTCTCATTCTGCTAGTTTTTCCATTTCAAACCCTATCGCCTTTGTTGTTTTGAGATGTAAAGTGAAATTCGACAGACTCATTGATGCCCTGTCTTTCAGGATATGGAGCTCTCTTTTTTTCTTCTTTTGAAATAAATGCTTAAAAAAAACTACTTCAGTTGTTTTTACAATTCACTATGAATGTGTGCGCAAATTTTCTAATCTTTTGATTAATTACTTTTGGAGGAAAGAAATTGTAATTTTTTTTTCATCTCAGAATCTTTGCAAGTCAGAAACAGGCAACCTGTAAATTGGCAAAAGTTGGTATACATCATACTCAGTATAGTTGTAACTCGGTTTTTTCTTCAGAATTTCATAATGTGATTTTTTTGTGGTAACTGATCCATTTAAAACCCCTAAATTGGCCCAATTGGCTACTCGAGTTATTTTGCGAAGTCGGTCACCTGCATCGCCTTGAATGGAAGCGCCCTCATGTGACTCGAACTCCTTTTCCAACTCAGTCCCATGACTCGTTCATGTGCGTGACTCCCCATGTCAAAAAGACTGTGGCAGTGGCGTGTATTCCAACATATTGATCGCTATGTAATTTTTTTTTTCATTTCCATTCGCCCCGTGTCTTCTGACCGTTGTATACCGGCAATCCGGATCGTACAGGGTTAGTATTGATATAAAGTTTCTTGGCGTGTTCTACCATGCAATATATTTTTCATCGTGGAACTAAAATATTTGGTGTAAACACAAATGAGACCAAGGGGGAGACGAATGTAATTGACGAATATGAGCGGAAATAGCCCCCAGGGGGAGCTAAATTTACTCAAGGTCCTACATGTCTGCAGTTGCTTGCATCCGGGAGATGCCACGATGGACGGTCGACCGATTCCGTCCAGCATCCAACACGGCTACTCGATGGCGGATGGCACTCTGAAGCCCGTTAAGGCGGCAAGTGCCGCACGACACACGACAGACTTCAGAGATCTCCCGAAGCCAAAAGTCTCCAGGGGTGAGGTCGGGCTGACGACCTCACCTGGGCTGACGACCAGGCGACCGGGAGATGACGGCTGATCGTCCTGTCCCCAATGGATGCCTGCAAAAGTGTTCTCACCAGTCCATGAAGTGCCGGGAGTGCCCCATCTTGCATGAAGACAGTCTATACCGTCACTGGGACTGGGACTAAAAATTGGCCCTGGCATTTTTACTCACACCGGCCCTCATTGAGGCTGTAGTTTATAAGCCTAAACTGATAACTGAAACGAACTACTAGGCAATAATTAGACCTACCTAATTGTTGGTGGAGTTGGGGGGGTTCGTCAACTCTCAACTGCAAGGAGCCGTGGAATCGCACTGCGGGGGTGGCGACGCTATTGAAAAGACGTATAATTGGTTCCCTCCCAGAAAACGTAGTAGCGGTTCCAGGATGAAAGGGGGAAATTTTCATTAAATTCTCGTAATCCGACCTGGGATGTTTGAGTATATTATAGTTTACTAGTCGAAAACCCATGTACACACGAGGTGTTTAGACTGTTACCAACTTTGATCATTGAATGGCAATTGCTAGAGAAAATGTGTTTCTCGATTAAAAAGAATCATGGTAACTTGGGAACTCTCCCCCAGGCCCTGCTCATGCCCTATGTATGGTCCATTGGCCGAGACTGGGCGGGAGTCCCTCAGAAGTATCAATAAAAATTAGATCTCGTTGTGCGCAGGGCGAATGTCGCTTTTGATGAAAGAACAAAGGGTGGTGATGAAAAAATTACAGGTAATGAGAGAATCACTGGTGATGTGAATGACGAACACTTCTCAGTACAACCGAGAAGAAATCTGAGCTTCGATCTCAAGTCAAGAGTTGAAAACTGACTCTGTACAAAGCAATCATCTAGACCAGCGGTTCCCAAACTGTGGGTCGCGAGAGGCGTCAAGGTGAGTCGCGTACATCTTCCCAATATAAAAAATCACCATGTCCGCATCCGCTCAGGATCAACTCGCCCTGCAGGAAAGGACGATCAGTTTTCTTCACGACATAATTACTTTGAAAATACCTCAATCTGGATTCCGGTGAGTCGCGAACTTTTTTGTTCGTCAGCAAGTGGGTCGGACAAAGAAGTCTGGGAACCGCTGGCGTATAGTGTAGATGGGGGGAGGGGGGGGGGGGGAAGACGTTCGTGGAAGGACATGGCTGTCATATATATAAAATAAAAATAAAAAATAAATCCTTCCACGGCACCTGCCGGCATTGGAGATATGAGGGAGGATGAACCACATCCCAGACCTCATACTCGCCTAATTCTGAAGGACACGGCGAAGGATGCTGGCCGTGCCCAAGATTGCTGTACGCTGGAGGATATCGAGCGAGATTTCACACTCCAGCTTCCTGACATGTCCCGAGGTCTTTCAGGACGACGCCAGTTGTGCCTATGATGATCGGAACTATGGTGGCCTTCATTCCGCACAACTGTTCCATTTCCACTCTCAGTTCGGAGTTCTGGTCCTGAATGGCTAGGATGTTGCTCTCTGTCTCGGCATTCAACAGTCCCTTCTTCAGCCAGTTATAGCTGACGTCTGAGTCAATCGATGGTTTTATATATATATATATATATATATATATACGTATATATATGCAGAAGTTGCAATTTCCTTATACATTATCATTGCAATGCAACAATTAAGGGAAAAAGTAAGGAGGAATGATCGTGAGGTATCTCAAGCAAGTAGGAATGCATGGAAACGATGTTTTTCCACACGGTTGACAAGGAAGAGATACATGCGAATCCAAAAAAATATCAAAAGGGGTCATCTGAGCTCGACTTGACCCGCCTGACAACCCTGACCTGCCATTCCATCTCCTTTGCCCTGATGAGGTCTTACTTGTAACCCCTTGTTTAATCCCCATCTTCCTCTGCCAGCACTCTTCACCGACTTCATCCATCAGCTCTTTTGTTAAGCAGAAATATATATTTTTTTTCTAAAGCAGGGAATGAATTAAACTACGCAGAACTAGCGACAGCCGCGAGCCAGGAGCGTATCACCAGCCCAACTGGGAATAGCCCTATCAATGCGGAGATTTCGCTGGAAATGTAGGTAGGCCTACTAGAAATGCCTGATAATGTTATTGTTTCTAAGTTGGATCTATTCCCCATATACTTCATGTTAACTTGTAAATTTCGTTGCATAAGACTAATAGGGTACATGAGTACCGACCCGTCGACCCTTGAAAAGACCGGCCCGCCGGCCCTTCTGGCATTTGCCAGAGCTGCCAGATGGCCAGTCCGCCTCTGGACTGACTTCCGACAGGGCAGCCAGTAGCTTTATACCATTCCATACATGTGCCGTATGCAAATA